AAAGGAGGGGAAACTTATGATGGAAAAGGGCAAGATCAAGGCCATTCAAGAGTGGGAACCGCCGACCAAGGTACCAACACTACGATCCTTTCTGGAGCTAGCCAACTACTATCGGAGATTCATAAAAGGGTATTCAGCTATAGCGGCACCCTTAACAGACCTTCTTAAGAAAAACAAGGTATGGGAATGGACGGACCGGTGTCAAGAGGCCTTTGAGAGGTTGAAGAAGGCCCTAATGGAGGAGCCTGTACTAAGGTTGCCCGACCTTAGTAAGCCATTCGAGTTGCACCACTGATGCTTCCGACTTTGCCATAGGAGGAGTGTTGATGCAAGAGGGACATCCGATAGCCTATGAAAGTCGCAAGCTAAACAATGCCGAGAAGAGGTACACGACCCATGAAAAGGAGATGACCGCCATCGTCCATTTGCCTTAGAGTTTGGAGGCATTACTTGCTTGGTACCCCATTCGTCATCAAGACGGACAACGTTGCCACTAGCTACTTTCAAACCCAACAAAAGCTCACACCTAAGCAAGCAAGGTGGCAAGAGTTCTTAGCGGAGTTTGATTACAAGCTAGAGTACAAGCAAGGAAAGGAGAACGTGGTGGCCGATGCTTTAAGTAGACGAGTAGAGTTAATGGCTACGGTACTCAAGCCGCAAAGCCATCTCTTGGATCGTGTCCGAGAAGGTTTGTCACATGACGTCCAAGCCAAGAACATTGTGGAGTTTGTCAAGGATGGGAAGACAAGAAGGTTTTGGCTTGAGGACGGCTTGCTATACACCAAGGGCAAGCGGATCTACGTCCCAAAGTGGGGAAGCTTAAGGAAAGAAATCCTTAAGGAGTGCCATGACTCAATGTGGGCAGGACATCCTGGCACTCACCGCACGTTGGCTTTGGTGAGCGATGCTTATTATTGGCCACAAATGCGGGATGATGTAGATTCATACGTGAAGACTTGTCTTGTGTGCCAACAAGACAAAGTGGAACAAAGGCAACCGGGAGGACTGTTGGAACCACTTCCCACCCCATCAAGACCATGGGAGTGTTTGACCATGGATTTCATCACACATTTGCCCAAGTCTGATGGATGTGGATCTATCTTCGTCGTGGTTGATAGATTCACCAAGTATGCCACTTTCATACCTGCACCCGTGGAGTGCACAGCCGAAGTAGCTGCACGCTTGTTTCTAAAGCACGTGGTCAAGTATTGGGGTGTTCCGAGGAGCATAGTCAGCGATCGAGATGCTCGCTTCACGGGTAGATTTTGGAAGGAGCTCTTCAAGCTACTTGGCTCAAAGTTAGACTTCTTCACAGCTTTTCATCCCCAAACTGATGGACAAACGGAGCGGGTTAACGCATTGTTGGAGACTTATTTGCGGCACTATGTTAGTGCCAATCAACGAGATTGGGCTAAGTTACTTGATGTTGCCCAATTCTCTTATAACTTGCAACGTTCGGAGTCGACGGGGAAAAGTCCGTTCGAGTTGGCTATAGGGCAACAACCCTTGACCCCGAACACGGTCGTGACTGGCTACACGGGGAATAGTCCAGCCGCTTTCAAAAACCGCTAAGGAGTGGCAATTAGCCCACGAACTTGCTCGAGCTCATTTGGAGAAGGCTTCAAAGAAGATGAAGAAATGGGCGGATCGTAAGCGAAGGAATGTGGAGTTCCAAACTGGCGACCAAGTCTTTGTGAAGCTCAATGCGTCTCAGCACAAGAGTACTCGTGGCTTGCACAAGAGCTTGTTGCGGAAGTATGAGGGACCATTCCCTATCATCAAGAAGGTTGGCAAAGCCGCTTATGTTGTGGAACTCCCACCCCGCCTCAAGTTTTCACCCGGTGTTCCATGTGAGCAACTTGAAGCCTTATCATGCAGACAATGAGGAGCCAAGCCGAGGTGAGTCTCATCGAGCACCCCCCCTTTGATGACGGAGGCATTTGACAAAGAAGTGGAGAGCATTGAAGCCAAGCGTGTCATGGTGCGACCAAGACAACCAAAGCATGTGGAGTACTTTGTCAAATGGAAGGGGCTACCATACTCCGAAGCAACATGGGAGAAGGAGACGTCCTTATGGCAATATAAGGACTTGATTCAGACATTCGAGAGGCAAGAGTCGACGAGGACGTCGACGGCTTAAGTGGGGGAGGATGTCACGGGCCATGTGTTAAAAACAAAGAAAAATGCCCAAGACATCATATATCTAAGCCCATGAAGCCATGTCTTCATGGAAGCTTCTGGAACGTCCCGGAGAAATCAAGAACGTGGCGGAGCATTCAAGATAATCTTAGGGCATTCCGGAACATTCCACACAAGTGTACATATTTAAGCCTCACCTAGAATAATCTAGATTAGGCAAGTTGTATCTAGAACTATGCTAGATATTTTTGGATGTAAGTAGGGGATTCTAGAACCCTCCATTGAGGAGGTGACTTAGGCCTATAAATAGGAGGTAAGGCCATTTGGCCAAACCATCCAAGAATTGTAAGCAATTGTAAAGTTCTCTTAACTTTCAATACAAAGCTTCCTTTCTCCCATCTTCTAAGTGATCTTAGCATTCTCCAAGCTATCTTAGCTTTCTTTGTGATTCGATCCGGGGAAGCGAGGCTTCGAAGGCTTACTTAGCTTGTTCATCGAGGTATTCAAGTCTAAGTGCCGCACGGGCGGAAGGCTTAAAGAGTCATCCCGTGACACTAGGCTTTATCAGGCTAGGATCTCCATCACAAGGGACAACAGTAGTCACCTTAACATTACTACTAAATAATTCTTAATCTAGTGATATTTCTCGTAAATGTTGGAAGATGTTCCAAGTTCTAATTCCTCATGCCCATTTATATGATAATCAAGAGAGAAAAAAAAAAATCTTGCGAGATTGACAGTCGAACATAACATACCAAACGATATGACAAAAACGTTCTCATGGGAAGCCGATCGAATCAAGATATATGCTTGAAACAAGAGGTAATTTTGTATGGCTGCTCAACCTAAACCTTCCCCACTTGTATATGCCATTGACGTTCATGGCCTAGAAACCACACATGCAAATCTACCAACGTCAATATCATCTTCTATCAAGCATAAGTGCACAAGTTTAATGTAGGGCTCGTTTAAAAATGAACTTTTTAGGCAAAATGGTTGTTGAGATTAGCATAACTTTTCACTTTGATATCTAACAATGAAAGTTAATAGAAGCGGTCATTGAGTTTGTCCACTGGCAAATCATTTTGGTCATTTCATGAAAAATATGTCAATATCCTCGTTAAATTGTCACATGAACGGTCTAGTGGCCACCTTTTATGGATATTTTTGTCAAATCAACTATTCCACTTAATGAGAATATTGATAGAGTTTTCACAAAAGGAACAAAATGATTAATGGTAGACAAACTCAGGGATCACTTTTATCAATTTTCAGTGTCATGGGCCAAAGTGAAAAATTATGCCAATCTTAGAAATCATTTTGGCTAAAAAACCTTAAAAATACTTTTTAGAAAAACACTTCTATTCATAAGGGTTTTGAAAAAAAAAATTAATTAAAATGCAAATGCTTCTTGGAAGCACCTTTAATTTTTTTGTCAAACACATACATAATGGTTTTAAAAGCGCTTTTAGTTATTTTAAAAATATTTTTTAATAAGCACGTAAAAAAATAAATAAAGAAAAAAAGATAGAAAATCCTTTGATTATAAGGATGAGAATTACATTAAAATGGCAATTTCTTTTACAAACATGAATTATCCTAAATGTCCTTGTTCCACCAACCAACCACAGTAACCCTATCATGCTCCGACTGCCACCAGTCACATTTTCGATCACCACAAGTCCTATAGTACCGAATTCTTCGAGTGCCACTCCCATATCCACCCGTCTGTAGAAGTGTCCCGTTGCTCAAGAAAAACCCCGATGAGAACCAGGTATCAGTGTACAGCCTCAGAGGCCAGACTTTGTTGCTAGAAATGTCATACTCCACGGAGTGAGCATAGCACGACGAGTCTGCTATATCATCGCGGCTATCTGTGCATCTGTTTCCATTGTGGCGCCTTCGAAGCCTGTAGCCCAAGGGCCTGCTTCTGTTGGTCAAACATGATGACAGTGTTGTGGTGTGTCAATGCCATAAGCGTAGTCACAACACTGGTGTTGTTTAGTAGCTAAATCCGATACAATGCAATGTGAAGAACCAGCGGTGAGGAAAGATTTCATCCCAGAAGGGAAGCGATTGTGGTGCGCCGTGAGAGAGTAAGAGTGTTTGAGTGATGTGAAAAGAGTGGAAGCCTTTTAATACTTAGGCTAGTTGGCTAAAATTTAGGCTGCTCACATACAAAAAGTTGTAGAATTTTTTGAAAGACTCTTCCTGTGAAAGTGTGGGAGCTTATTACATTATTTGGGGCGTTTGGTTTTGTGATGTGCAACTTATTCGGTCTTTCATGCAATAAGCGGTGAGAATGGAGTGATGTTTTGATTGTAACTGTCATACTGTTACGTAGTGTTACACTTTATTTAAATTATAACTTATTTATTTGTTTATTATTGATATAAGTTAGGTTGAGAAAGTAATTATGTTGTCCACACATATCATAACACGTGCATTAGTAATGATGTGTGTTAATATGACAATCATCCTCAAGTGTTAAGTATCATGTGATGCTTCAATTTCACCCGGGTTATAACACATATACTTTCATTATTGATTTTACTTAGGCTGAGAAATGATCAACTATGTCGTTCACCCTTATCATAATACCTGGATTAATGACACCAGGTATTCTCTTGTGAAGGTGGGATTTGGCTTCCAAGAAACTCAATCATTTTATACCATGAATTCTCCATGCTTATTGCTTATGAAGATCTTTTCAAATTTGCATTAACTCCAGCCAGAAAAATTGAACATATTGTAAAGTTGATGAACGACAGTTCATCTTCATGTTTGTGTTGGACATAGAAACGACATGACGCTTATGCATCTGTTGAGCTGAAACGACATGCTATAGCTGAGATAGGTGCTTTGCAGATGAGCCAGAAGGTGAGCTTTACTGACCGATTATATAAAGTATGTCTTGTGTACATACATAAGGCGTACAACCATTTATATGATGAATTTAATTGGACCAAAGTAGAAATAAGTAGACGCGAAAACAACGACAAGAAACAAAAATTCAAACAAACACAGAACTAGCAGTAGCAGCGATTCTAACCACGAGTGTCCAAGTACGACCATGACCTCCAAACGTAGACGTCCTTCATCCAGGAAAAGGGAAGATATCTACAAGGGACTCGGTTCCTTTTGATGAAAGACGATTGCAACGAATTGAAATGATCTTGGAGTTGAAGTTGCAGCAGTCCAAATTTCACATAGATTAACACCTAATAGAGCTTTATTCGGGTGTGGATGCTGGTTCTGCAAATGGGACATAAGTCGAGATCTTGTCCACAGTCACAGCATGTCTGCAAACAATATTAAAATCCAACTCACTTATTTGTTGTTCAAACCTTCATCCAATTCTGAAAGGTGTAAAAGATGTGTATAAGCAATACCTGATGCCCACAACCAAATGCCATATTCTTCGGATCGGTTAGGCAAATGGGACACGCCTGCAAGAATAAAAAAATACGTCTAAACTAGTCATTTTGACGGGAATTTGATGTCCATGCCATACGTATTAAGCCTCCTCATAAAAAATAGTAGGAAGAGGGCAGTTACATGATTGTCAGAAGCTGAACCGGTAGGACTTGCTGTGCTAACGAACTCATCACGTTGCTTGGAAGGTGCACTTGGACGAAAACTACTTGATCGTGAAGTTTTTGGGGAGCTAAAAGGAGATGAACCGTAATGAGGTGGGGGCAGAGGTATCCTATCTGTAGCCTTCCCTCTTGTAGCACTATATAAGCAATGAAATGAAACGATGATTTGCAAATGAACTTATGTAACCCAAAGCTGCAATAGTAAATCCCTCAAAGCCCATTAGCCAGGAGGAGTTATAGATTATTACCCTAAAATATTAAGCTCTAGCGTTGCTTTATACTGAGAGGGTATTTCCATCAGTGCTGCAAGAGCAAACTCAGCTTCTTTTCTCGAACGATCCATATTCTTTGCCATAATTTCTGTAAAATTCACAAACTACAGAAGGCAAAATAAAGCGGCACCTTTTAATTAAAGTTTGAAGAAAGAAAACATAATAAAGCATATATACTCCATCAAGATGCTATCCACTATCCATTGCAATTAAAGTTCGAAATACTTGCCTGAAAGTTATCAAAGGCCCGGGCGGGGATGTTGTCATCAAATTCCTTCATCATATCCCACGGCCCATCTCCAACACCGACTAGTATAATTGATAAGGAGTACTCGCTGCAATATAACAAGGACATTGTAAAATAAAATGGAAAAAGAAGAAGGAAGGAAGGAATAAGACCAAGGAAAACAAGCATTCCAAGAATGTACCTTGCTTTCACAATTGCTTCAACGGTTTTCCTTTCCTGTGGGCTTAACTGGCCACGTCCAGTATCAACACTTCTGGTCACCTGTGACAATTAACAGTCTCCTTTAACACAAAATAATTGAAGACACGAGATCATATTGCTACTAAAATAATTTGCTGCTTGAGCAGAAAACTCTCGAACAGGTATAAGTTATAATTATAAGATAGAGACTGAAAGCAATATACCTGCCCATCGGCTATGATCACCAATACATGGTACTGACCACCGCTTTGCTCAACAATAGTGATGCCCATTTCAATAATAGGGGCAAAGGATGTCGGCCCTGTCACAAGGAAAAAAGGGTATGAATCTCCATAAGCAACCAACCAACCTAGAAAAAGAAGAGGAAAAGGGAGTAAAACGAATTCCAACCGGCCAGTCGTAGCTGAGGGACTATTTCTCTATATCGTCTCAATACTTCTTCAAATCCATTGCAATAAGATCCCTCGTCCGGGTAGAAACTGAAAACTTCTTGGTCATGGGTTGATGCTGCAAATGTATGAAAATCACATAACATCTATATTGTCAAAACTCGAAAGGCTAAATTTCAAGAGTAAGACAACTGTTAGATAAGATACCATCTCCAAATCCAAAACAGGGAATCAAGTTATCTTCATCAAAGGAAGACAATGTTTTCCCTATAATTGCAATTGCCTGTTCGTAAGGATTTTGCTCTCCTCCAATGTGATGCAAGCTTTTCCGATGAAATGACCTTGCACCTGTCCACTCGTTGCTTTTTGTGAAATCAATGCCAACAATAAGATTGGATGACTCAAGACCAGCACGCACCAATGCATCTGTGACCTATCGAAAGATACGAGTAGGAATGTCATGATGATTACAAAAGTAACATTAGCAATAACAGTGATTTCACATCGTATTTGCTTCAAAGACAGATGACAGTGATATAACTATTGAATATGCACATTGAGATATTGAGCCAAACATTGAGTACATTATCTTGCGTTTTACCTGGTCCAGGCTATTGTAATCATCATTTATTCTCCTAAACTTGGTACCAGACCCCACATTCGAGCCTGTTGGCCAAGCACTGCCATGGCTTTGAGGTGGAGGAGCATAATGCTGCTGGTGCCGGTAGTCTTGGCTTGGCGGAGCATATGATGGTATCAATGGTGGTTGTGCATATGGTGCCTCTTGATAACTCTGATGACTCCAAGAACGTGATCCAGACCCAAAAGAAGGCTGTCTTGAAGTTGAACGTTTTGAACTCTTCCCACCCATAAGTTCTATATTCTACAAAAACACTGCACATTCAACAAACAAGAACTAAATTAAGTAAATTGTTACAGATCAATCTCTGATCGAGTTCACACTCCAAAAGGCTTGTTCTTTTCATCTAACAATCACTTTTAGGGGAAAAGTAACTATTAGCCAATTATTCCATTTGCTTCATAATCCAAATGTGGATATATCATATAACCCAACAAACAGAATTACTAAAAAAAATTTACTTTGATCCAGGACCAAAAATTTTAGCTGTTGTTGGATTTAGTCCAGTTTCCTTATTTTTCAACTTTAATTAAAATTTTTTATTAATACATCTTTACTCAAATTTTTAATTTGAATTTTAAATAAGAAAATCCAACCACTTCCATGGAAAATAGTTAAAAGAAAATTTATATGACCTAATCATAGGTTGATCAAAAACATTTACCATGTGATAGAGGTATCTACAAAAATAAATAAAAATTAATCTACATATAATCCATGAAAATAGTAAAGAAGTTTCATATTCCATACATTAATAAATTCATACTAGTATATATGTACATACACCATAGATTATTAACATAGTTGATGAGTGTCGAGGTAGAAGAAAAAATTGAGATACGAGTTAGGGGTTGGAAAAAAGAGAAACAATATTTAAGATTAATCATAAAATTGAGGTAAGAATAAGGGATGACATTTATCACAATTTAAGTGGGATTACGAGGGATTTTAATTCTTTTAATGAATCTAGGGTATTCAATCAGGATTTTATGTGATTATCTGCAATTTAAGGTGTATTCAATTAGAATTTTAAGATAGTTTATTAAAATCCTTAGAAATCCAGATGTATTCAATTAGGATTTTAAAAATGTTTATAACATTCTAGGTGTATTCAATTAGAAATTGATTTTAAAGAATTTGAGAAAATTGGAGAGATTTCGTAATATATTTTAAGTATCCACAAATCTCACCTCTCCCCATGAGATTTCGAGGGAATTGAATAAAAAATTTATATGGAATCTCTACAAATCAATTAAACTCCATAAAAATCCATGGATTTATAAATCCATTAAAATCTTTCAAATTCTCAATTGAATACCCTCCTTAATAAAAAGATGATAAAAAAAGCTACTACGGATAATTAATGAACAAATCACATTGGACTTTTTTTTTTTTTTGAACACAAAATTGGACTTATATCCAGTTTACTAAAACAAATAGTTCAAGAAAATTGAACAAAACATTTCAGAGTTCAGACAAGCGGGCCATCTACTCCAATTTCCAAGCTTCATTCACAGACAAATCGGGGCCGAAAATTCGATAATGCCGGGAAAACTAAGACGAATTCGTATCAGAATTATTGAAATTGAACACAACCCAGAAGATATGAGCACATTTTCAGGCCAAAGATACGCAATTTCTTGTTCCAATTCATAGTAATTATCCAACAAGACCCAAACTTTTCCACAACCCACATTCCAATTCAGAGAAAGACAAACTTTTTTTACATCTTACAAACAATTAATCAATAAATATTTAGCCCCAATCCCTAAATCCAATTCATCAAAAACCTAATACATAAAAAAAATTAAAAAAAATGGCGCAGAAAAAATAAATGAAGAATTGGTACCTCTCAGACAGGTATTTTCGAGTTGACGATGATGGTTTGGAACATATCTGAGTTGAAGATGATGTTGTCAGTCAAGAGGGCGGAGAAGTCCACGGGTGAAGTGGTAACTTGGCAAAGCCTTGTTGTTGTTGTCGTTGTTGCAAGTTTGCAACTTGGCGACTCAAGAGTGTAAAAGTCTTTGAGTCTATTGAGAGACAGCTTGACACTTGCGTTCGTAGTTTACTGGTGAAGGTTGTTTCTAGGTAGCTTCCCTTCTGGATAAAAGGTTCTTTTTACTGTTCTCTTTGTTTTGGCTGATAGCGTTGCCCTCCACCGATTGGCTTGGTTACCTTTTTTTTTAAGCATGTATGCATATCCTGAATTCGACGAGGTACGGATTTGTAGTTCAAGTAGTTTAATGGAGTGGGTTTTAGGTCCGATTTTCGCTTTCACGGTGTTGAACTAGTCAAGATCAAGATGTTGTGTAATGTTATGTGGCACTGAAATTTAGCTATTTGTTAATCTTGAACTAGTATTTGTTGTTAAGTTGGTGGTGAAGATTTAATCGTTAAGATTCAAATTCATCTCATTTACCGTGTAAATCTCATCTAAGAAAAGTGTATGTATCTTTTACTTTTCCTTGATGTGTTTTTATGTACTTGGTTGTGGAGCGCTGTTCTGATGTAAACTAAGGCTTACGAAGAAAATTCAATGAGGCATTCATGTTTAGTCATAATGAATTAGTAAGTGAAATTAGAAATTCAATTTACCAGCCATCTATGCACCATTAAGAATTTGGGGCACATCGGATGAGATTTAAGAAAATAAGGGTAACTTTTGGTTTTTTTCTTCTCTTGCGTCGAGAATGTGATGAATGAGATTTTTTTTAAAGATATATGTAAAATAAGAGTATGAAAAATGAGATCTGACTCAAAGTTGCGACTTAAAACGCATGTTTTGTTTGTGCTGCACTGTAAGTCTTAATCATGTTACTAAGTTGATAGCATCTGCTGATATGCCTGCACTTCCCATGATTGTGGTAAAATATTTTGATTGAGTTAGTTTTAAAGGAAAATAACATTTAAATAATTGATAAATGGCACCTCTCTTTTCCAGGTATTTCTTCCTTCATCAACCATTTGCTAGTGGGGAACTTAAGCATATATACGAGGCGGCTTTGAGGAACAAAATATGCAATCTCATAGTGTCGCAAATTGGCAGAGGTCCCAAAATTTTGCATCTAATGTTTATTGTAATGCTATATATTAAAAAATTATCTTTATTAGCACTTTAATTTTTTTTTTTGTGCACTTCAAAATTTTATTGTGCACTCTTTGTAAGTATAGTTTTTTTTTTTCTTTTTAAATATAAAAATTTAGAGTGCACAATGAGTATTTGGAGTGCCAAAACAACAACCTAAAAATAATTTTTTTCTTCCAATTTTATTATATAATAATGCTATATATTCTAGTGAAACTTTAAAATTAGAGTTTTTGAAGCTTTTTTTTTGTTGGATTGTTTACGATTGAACTGCTTTTGATTATTTAGTGAAAGTTATGTTAGTAGCTCTTTTTAATTATTATTTAGTGAAATTTGTAAAAGATTTAATTGTAAGATGGATTGCGATTGAACTGCTTTTAAATATTGAATGAAAATTATGTTTGTAGCTCTTTTAATTATTATTTAATGGCATTTGCATTGTAAGATGGATTAATACAACATGGTTCTAGGATCACAACTTGACTTGCATTATGATAATTACAATAAGAAGATGAATGATACTAACCTAAACCGATGGGAGACATAATGGCTTGAGTTCAGGCCATCTCCAACCGACCCGGCCATAGGGCCATAGGCTAAAATATAGTCTGTTTTGACACGAAAACCGTATCCAACCAAGGGATAAGGCAAAGAGCTTGTGGGTCCCACCTGACCAAAATTAGACACCAAACCAGTGGAATGGCCAAAATGAGCCAGCTAGCCAGCCCAATGCAGTAGCCCAGCCCACTTGCAACGGCTAGCCACCGTTGGAATTTGAATTTTTTTTTAGATGAATTTTTTTAGGGTACCTAAGCCATTCCTACACCATTTCTCACATCCCTTTCACCATTCAATACTATCTTACCTCATTTTATTTCAATTCTTCACATTCTATTCTCTTACCTCGTCCAATAATCTTTCCTTTAATTTTTTCAATAATTTTCAAATGGCCAACCAATTACATCTCGACACGTGGCACTCGAAATCCTATCTGAAAAATTATTAAGATAACATAAAGATAAGAAAATTGGAGAGTTACTCATTTTAGAGACACGTGACACTCGAAGTCCTATCCGAAAAATTATTAAGATTACATAAAGATAAGAAATCTAGAGAGTTACTCACTTTAGCAACACGTGTCACTCGAAATCCTATCCGAAAAATTGAGATTATATAAAAATAAATCCATAAGCTTTTTCTTGTTAGGATACATATCCTTTAAAAACTTGGCATAGGGCTCTTGATAAATTTTTTACCACTTGTGCAAAAAGGTTAAAAACACCTAAAATACTTGCAAGACAAACAAGATAATTGTAGTATAACAACTCAAACAAGATCGTTCTCCACAAAGATTATTAAAACAATTTATATTTAAAACCAATTCTTAATTAATTACTTAACACAAAGTTTGAATTTTTTTTTTGAAATTGTGAATTGAAATAACAAGACAATGAAATTAAAAAAATAATAATAATAATAAAGAAATCGACAAATCTAACAAAGAAAGTAAAAGGTTTTGAAAATATTAAATTTAAAAGACACTAGGGTTCCGCCATCACCTTAACAATCCTATATAGTTGTTCCAATTATTTATGACTCATACATGCATATTTTGAAGGTTAGGTTTCCTAAGTATCTTTTACTTGGATCCCTAAATTAGAACATATATCAAACATGCAGCCTATCTGGACATTCTGATCAAATCTGAACATGCAAGACTCATAGAGCTTTATGAGAATCTTTTGAAAACCATGCAACCCTTAAGACGTGACATTTGCCTAAATGAAATTATTATTATTAAACACAAGAAGCCTTAACCAATTCTAGGGAAGCCCTCCAACCAAAATTGCATCAAATTACTTGTCTAAACATTTTAATGATTGCAAAGCATTAAGACAAATCGATAGTTTAAACACAATGATTAGTAATTCTAACATGCATTCAGAATATCACAAGTAAATTGAAAAGAAACTATATATTATTGTCAAGCCTCGTGGCCTTGCCCTAGCTAAAGAAAGTTAGTTACTATATTCATAATTGAAATCCAAAATATTATTAAGAAGGAAAAGATTGAAAACATATTGTATAAAAGTCTGCAAAGCTTTGTCCGAATTCTCTTTCAAAATTGCATACAGAAGAACCCTAAAGCTGACCAAGCTATTTATTCTACAATAAAATCCTTCCTAAAAAAGGTGTTGGCATAAAACTAGGAAACTAAACAAATTAACATAACTTAGGAAACAAAATCCTAAACAAACATGTATAATCTACCACTTCAAAGATTGAGACGTTCTGAACAACTTTGTAGAAAGATCCAAATACGAAACTGCCATCTTGGTTGTCAAAAAACCCAATTAATTTTAAAGCACCACTCTGGCATCTTTGCGTGCTGGTCCTTTATTTATTCGCTATAATTCAACGGCTCAGCATAAAAATATGAAACTTTGATACAAATAAGATCAAAAACTTAAAAAGCCATTCCAATTAGAATTACTTCGAAATTCATCTGTTTGATTACTTTTTACTCGAAGAGATTCCCATGTCCTAGAGAATTATGAACCCAAATATCAAAGTTATCACAAAATAACTAATAAACTAATACTAAAAATAAGGTAAAAATATAAAATAATATCAACTCATCAGTAGTTGATCACATGTTATGCATTTGATAACACATGATAAAGGGTTTGTTTTCTTTGTAGGAATTTTGTCCTGGCATGGAATCTGACTGGATATATATGCATATCAAATGGGTAGGATGATGGTCAGCAAATTCGGACTCATTCCGTCATTTGTGGATGAACAATTCCACGCTTGCTAAGTGATATTTTCTTTGCATTAATGTAAAATAAAAATTTCTAAATTTCACATACACAATTTCTTTGACGTTATATGATTGCTGAGTTGTTTGGTGTTATTAGATTGATTTTCAGGGATTGCTTGTCGCAGCTAAAATATTAGAGTTAGGTAATATATTTTTCTTTGGAATAAGTTTTTGCTCGACACCAATCAGATTTTTATATCCCACACACCTTTATTAATTTTTGTTTATTGATCTTCATTCCATTTAATCCGAAAGCCGGAAGTTGACAGGGGTGTATGAACAGTAAAAATAAGTGTGTAGATAACACTATCCTTCAACGAATATCCAAAATACTTGGGACGGTTTGATTTCTTAGTAAGTTAATGTTTTACTCCTGTACGAATATGTAGTTTTTTCAACGGACGGACGGCCACGATCTTTTTGTGCAGTTATGCACACGGTGAGAGATTTCTCAACTCTGATAAATAAATTTGTTTGTTTATTACTGAGATAATCTGAATTATTAGCTACTTGAAAGGTGACCCTAAGCCCATTTTCCTTTAGACTTGGAGAGTACGCAAGGGTTATATATATGAGCCTCAGCTAAAGGGATTTGTTTGGGAAATTATATTAAGTATTCAATCCAATCCGTTATCTTTCTTGGAGCCAAAGTAATCCACTCCTAAATTAAACGAGACTCATTTATATTTTACAAGAAATTAACCAAATGAAAGTGGTGAAAAATGGTTAAATTCATTCTCTTCACTAGACTAAGATCTAGGTTCGAGTCCGCGGCCGGCAATTTCTCTTGATAGCCTATTTGTAAAAACGAAAATTAAGAGATTAAATGGTGTCAATTATAAAATTTCTACAGTGAAGATACATTATTTGTACATAGGATAATGAACTCATCCCCTAAAAAAGGAATGCAAGTATTATCCTTAATTAATTATGTTTGAAGAAGGCCATCAATATCCTAATAATTATGTTTGAGGAAGAAAGGCAATGGACAGCAGGAAACAAATAAAATGGCTAAAATGGAAGAGAGAGAAACAAGAAAAGAAACTTTAATACCTTGAACCTTAGTTTTTTTTATTTTTATTTTTAGTACACGATATATTTTATACTAAGGGAATGAGGAGTTTGGTTAAGCCACACAATGGACAACCTAATTTAATACT